GATATGAAAGAGCTATTAAGAGTTTCATTACATGAATGTGACTGGTTTAGCCAGTTTCTAGAAAGATTTAAACTCCCAATAGTGTAGCATGCCCATTTCCCTGTATCATCATCAATACTGAGTATTACTTAAAAAGTAAAACAAGATTATTTACTAGTTTGACAAATTAGCCCAAATGTCTATGTATATAATAACAATGGACTCACATCCAATCTTACTCTGGAGGCTAACAGCTACAAAAGACAGGCCTGCCTATATTCAGTTCCTTACTTACATGACGGTTAGTATCCATACTATAATGGACGAATTAACAAACACATACCAGGGAGCCTGAGGTGTTCACCAGTCCAACTGTGGTACAGGGCTTTGCAGCATCTTTACATATACTGGGCAAATATAAAATTAGGTAGTGTAGACAAAAGCAAAGAGTAAGGTTGGAGAATGGAATTAGAAACTATGGATTTCATCTTCCCTTCATTTTCTAGGTGAACAGCAGCCCTAGGCCATGGGGTAGATTAATTGATCACTGTATTGGCTTGTATTTGAATTATAAAATAAATGCAATTCCTTACATTTAATAAGTGGGTTCTCTCTGTGCATGGTTCCAACACGTACAAATTTTAGTTACCAAAGACTGATAACATAACCCCAGTGCCCTGACTGCATGATTTATATTTGAGATGCTGTGCTATATCAATGGAGAGTAATGGCATAAGGTACAGCCTTTTCTGCTAGCTCTTTAGTCCACAAAAATCCTAGATGTGCGGGGTGCTCAGTGCACTGTCATACCTTTCAAATGCTGTCAGCAATAAGCCACTGTGTATCAGCTGCCAAGATAGTGCTGTGTGACCTCGTCCCTACAGTGCTTCCACATGGCAAAATAAATGAGGGAAAGAGGGGATTAGTGAAATGTTGAATGCATAGTGGCTTGTAGAAAAATGTAGAAAAATTCCTTAGATAATGCTGGAAGTGGATGTTGAATCAAACAGCTGGAGCAGGAGAAGTTGGCTGACCGAATGCTTCTGCACCATTTGAAAGCCTGGATACACAAGCAGGCAGTCAGGTCACTGAGAATGAACTTCCTGACATGAATGACGTCAGTGGTTGGAACAGAAAGGATGACCTGTCCCAGAGTAAGTGACGCCAGCAAGAAAACAGAACCTCAAAACAAAGTAAAGCAAAAACCGAAACAAACCAGATGTCTTACTTTAAGAAATATTCAAAGAAATTTCATAGCACTGAAAACAATAAAATGTCTGTGACTGATCCAAACTCAAAGGAGTTCCTTGCCAAGGAACAGAAAAGATGCTTCTTCTATGGTGTAAAGCTATCAGAGGCAAGCCCTGTTCAGTTGACTCCTAAGTTTTTTGTTTTTGTTTTTGTTTTTGTTTTGTTTTTTACAAAGAAAACAGTTTCAATGGGTTTAATGTTTTAAACTGAACTCTGCCTTTTTCCCCAGTCCTTACACAATTATTACCAAAGGTGAGATTTTAATGCTTTGCTAAAACCTTTTTTAAAGGTATTTGCACTATTGTCAGTTTCCCCATCAATTATTATGCTGGTTGGTGTGATTTTGGCCTGCTTATTTGTTTTTATGACCACACACTAGCAAGTGTGCCAATCTATGACTGCCTGTATGTGTTAGTGGGCACAGGCATCCAAGTTATAGAAATTGGGGGACTATTACTCAGTTTTTATTGCTACTCCTTCGGAAACAAACATAGAGCTTCATCAAGTTTTGGCTATCTTAAGAATAGTCTAAGAAGTGTTATTTTTAATGTGTACATTTTGGTTATGAAATGAAATATCTTTCCAAGCAGTGAACCAAAAAGGAGACATTTTCTTTTTACCTAAAACACAATACATTTGAAAAGATTCATTTTTTAAAAGTCCTGTTCTCTTAGAAAATTGAAATACTACAGAAACATCTGACTTCACCCATGGCAGGTTCGAGTCATGCAAGTTACAAGATTTACATTTCCTGGCTACTGACAGAGTGGCTAGAGGGCCAGAGTTGTTATGAAATTATTTTCTCAGCAATGCAATAATGTGCGAGGGCGTCTGATGGTTGAGGTCTCATCTGTCTTTCGGCTTTTCAGCTGAATATTATCTAGGCCCATTAACCAGTGGAAGCCATTTGACATCTGTGCACTTCCAGGACACTTCGGCAGGGAGAGTGAATGCTTAGATTACTGCAGAGACGTTCTGTGTATAAATGTCCTTTGGGTGATGTGCAGGGATGGAGGAGAATGTGATGACCCTGGTGGTGATCAGCCGACTACTGCTCCCCACATCTAAAGAAGGCAGGAGTCTCAAAAACTCATCTGTTTGAGCCTCAAAGATTGCAGGTGCAGCAAAAATGTACAGTATAGGCTCCAAAGATTAAATCACCCTTAAGGAGTCTCTTACTGGTAGTTGTGTTGGACTTGTCATACATATAGCCTAGGCAGGTTGCAACTGTTTCTAGGCATTGCTGTTGTGCAGTTAAACTGCATTTTGAGAAAAACTCATGACACAGGTGAAGCCTGTGTGCTGGGAATGTTGCATGGCTTCAACTGGTTATTCAGCAGCTTTTGTTTTCTACTAAGTTAAAAAGAGTATCATAGGAAATGAACTGTGTGTGTTTGTTTGAGATAGAGTCTCCCTGTAGCCTGGAACTCACTCTGTGGACAAGGCTGACTGGAATCTCACAGAGATCTGCCTGCCTCTGCTTCCAGCTGGGATTAAAGGTATATGCCACCACACCCAGCTGAAATTAACTGCTTTGAAGTGTATATTTCGGTGTCATTTTGCACATTCATGGTGTTGTACAACCATCATCTCTCATCTAATTCCAAGGCATTTTTATTACCCCTAAATAAAACCCTGTGCCCAATAGGAAGATGGAGGATGTCTGCTTCCATCTCTACAAACTACTAATCGAAACTTTCACCTGCCGTCTGTTTCCATGGACTTTTCTGTTCTTGGTATTTCAAGGGAATGATTATATGATGTACAGAATTTTATGACTGGTCTTTGAGCTTGATGTTCGCAAGGCTCATCCATGTGCTCTTTTTTTTTTTTTTTTTAAATGTTGAGGATTGAATCCAGAACCTTGTGTGTGCTAAACAAGTCCTTTTCTGCTGAGCTACATCCTGGCCTTTGGTTTTTTCAGACAAAAACTCATTGTGTATTGCAGGCCAGCCTAGAACTTACTTCCGTCTCCATTTCCCTAGTTCTAGGATTATAGGCATATGCTACCATGCATAGCCTATGTTGTCATACACACACACACACACACACACACACACACACACCCTTTATATGACTGAACAGTATTCCATTGTATGCATGTTGCACAATTGTTTACTCAATATTTGGTTGAATGTTTGGTTGTCTACCTTTGGGCTACTGTGGATAACGCTGCAGTAGACATGGGGTATATAAATGTCTGTTTGAATAGTTGTTTTTCAGTTCTTTTCAGGAATTGTTCTCAAATTACTCTCTTATAAAAAGATCTCAACTCTTACCTGACCCATGCATTCATACCCAATTAACAGTACTGAGTGTGAGGGAGGAATGTATGTGTCCCATCACTGATGCTTCCTCTGAGTCCATCTCTGCTCCAAAAAAGATGAGTGACTTGGTTGATGATAGGCTCTGCTTCCATTCCTGGGTGTGAGTCCACCTACTGAAAAGCTGCCTTCCTCCGTGGCAGTGCCAGGTAATGCTCCTGGGTTGGAGGCTTGGCTTAGTCTCTAATGGAGGGAGCACTGGATGGAGCATGTGGCTAGATCAGGGCTTCTGTTTAGAGGCTAATTAGGTTTTATTCTCAATTTTTCAAATTGTCAATAATGTGCATCACATTCAACGTCTCAGTTGGGTACCTTTGGAGAATACAGGCTACAGGCTGCTGATGTTGATGATGACAGAGGAACATGGCCTTTATCAACATGACTTGTAGCTGTAGGTTCAACGTCTCATTGGCACTCACTCTTAGCAATGTTGACTTGGAGATATACCTTATATTTTAGATTCAGTTTCCTTATCAATAAAAATAAGGAAATGAATCTGGTGTGGTGGTGTACGCCTTTAATCATAGCACTCGGGAGGAAGAAGCACGCAGATCTCTGTGGGCTCCAGACTAGCCTGATCTACATAGTGAGTTCCAGGTCAGTCATGGCTACATAGTGAGATGTTGTTTAAAAAATTACAGAAATGTTGTATTCAACTTATTTATGTGTCAAGGATGTGTGGGACTCATTAAAGTATCAGAGATAATAAATGATATCATTAAACCTAAAACACTAAGATTCTAATTTGCATGTTTGTTTCAGATATTTTACCAGCTTTTAATATTATAGCTTTTAATGTTATAGACTAATAATATAAATCTGAATCTTAAAAGTTTGATCACAGATGTCCCCAGAATGAATGCCCACAGGTGTGGTGCAGAGAGAGAGGTCAGTAAACCTCCAATCTCTAAGCAAAAAGTGAATCACTTAAAAAAAAACATTCTATTCATTATTTTTATTTTATGTGTATGAGTGTTTTCCTGCATGTATGTAAGTGTACCAATGCCTACAATAGCCATGCAGAGACCAGAGGAGGGTGCTGGATCACCTGGAACTGGAATTATGGACAGTCATTAGTGGCCATGTGGGTGCTATGAATCAAACCTGGGTCCTCTGGAAGAGCAGCAAGTGTTCTTAACTGCTGAGCCATCTCTCCAGCCCCAGAAAGTGAATCATGTTGTGTGGTGAGCATTCACCATGGAATTTCCTGTTCTTGGTGTTTCATATATCGGATAGTGACAGGACCAGAATACCTGGCTACCTCTCCATTGGGCCCTTTCCAAGTGCTGGCTATTAACAAGTGACATATGTTTTGAGGGAAAATATTTTGAAACAACACTGGAATTGTATAAAGAAAGGTTAGTGGCTTTATGTGGCTTCATCTTTTGATTACCAGGTTACAGCCACAGTAAGAAACACTAAACTTTTCTAACGTTCTTGTCATAGGTAACTCGTCACCTTGCCAAGCTCTTTGACAGCATTGCAGATCTGCAGTTTGAAGATAATCTAGATGTTTCAGTACACAGAGCAATTGGAATGTACAGCAAAGAAAAGGAGTATGTCCCATTCCAAGCCGGGTGTGAATGCATAGGCCACGTAAGATTTGGTTTTGAAGTTTTTTATGATAAGGTAGTAATTTGAGAGAAATTTCTGAAGGTTAAATTGAACCAGAAAAAAAGTCAATTCACGTCATATAAGGGTCTAGCTGGTTCTGTGCTGGGAGATTGCTTTATGCCCATTCCAGTGTGCCAAAGCACCCCTCTCCCTTGCCCAGCATTTGCTCTTTTAGCGTTAGCATCCTGCAGGGTTCCTGAAATGTTTGGAGTTCAGCTAGACAGAGGGTACTGTCACAGATGGAATGAATAGGCCTCAGGAGTTGGTCCATTAGTAGCAAATGCTGTCCAGTGACTGGGCTTCTATAAGGTCTACTCTGCTTTAGCCATCAGCTCAGAGGCTGTGGGAAACACAGCACCTGCTGTAAGTCACCATGTAGAGGCTTTGTGGTTGGCATTCCCATGTGGATATTGTGAATGGCTGCTTGCATTAATAAATAACATTGATAGAGTTTTCCAAGATGACACCACCTATCTCATCCAATTCCTGTGCAGTTAGCTGTGAATACTCTCACAGCCAAATAACCTAAAAATGTTCCCCAGGAACAAATCATTAAGGTTTATGACAGAACTTTAAACCTACTTGATGATTTAAGAGATTTACTCCTTTTTCTGATGAAGCCTGGGTAGCTTGGGCTAACCCACAGAGAAACCGTAGGAGCGGCTTCTATCAGAGAACCTTCTAGGCTGGGGAAAACACATTGCGAACTTATTTTACAAGGGTTTTTGTTACTTGTTTCTGTTACTTTTAATATTGTACCAGAAACCCTGCCAAATGAAGGGGAAACAGATGGTAGGATACTTTGATTAAAATATATTTTTGATCTCTTGGGCTTTTTAGGATATTATTATAGTGATTAGAAAAAGTCACCATAAACTATCTTGACAAAAGTGTGTTGCTGTCTACTGCCTCCCCGGCAGACTGTTCATCTATTGGCATGGTGCCTGGAGGGGATAGTCAATTGATGGATGTGGTTGTCACTAGTGGGAACCCTTGATATTGGAAATTTTCATACGATTCTAATTTATTCTGTATAAACAACTTATACTAGAGGGCCTTGAGCATATATGGCATTCACTCTCTAATTGCTTTTGTTTTATAAAATGTGCTTTTTGCTTTGTCTTTTTAAACTTTTCCCACACTTCTATAATTATTTCCTCCCAATTTAGTCTGTTTAAATTTTATTTAGCAAGTCATTATTGAATACCTGCTACTCATCAAATTAAGCTTTTGGGTATCAGCAATGAATAAGATACAGCCTATGTCCTTCAGAAGATCTTTATTTCACTGAGGAGGTGGATATGCATGTGATTAGTAATAACTAGATGTGGTTGTATTTATCATAGGAAATTAGGCAGCATGTCAAGAGGCATCAGAAGGGGAGGATCCTGCAAACAGTTCGTCAGAACTTAGTTTTGAAATCATACTGTTAGACTGCCATTGTGGGCACAGTCTCTGAACATGGACTGATACATCAAGTTTTCTTTAGTTTCCCCAAATGGACTAGGAAGTTCCCGAGGACATGTGACTCTGCTGAGGACAGACATCCAGAGTACACCAAAGGTTCTCAAATGATGACTGATCTACTGAGGGTGCTGCTGCCTGATGACCTTAGCATTGTGCTTCATGATGAAATCAGGACTATGAGAATCCTTGACTAGATAGGGACCTTGAACTTGTGCCTGTTAATAAAGCCTGCTGTAAAGCCAGAGAAACTCTCACAAGGCCAGGCAATGCTGTTTTATTCTTTTCAGGAAGGTAGTCAGCTCATCCCTGTGTCACTCTTTCCCAGTTCTCAAGAGGGACTAGCCCTGCTGCTGTTACCCTCACGGTGCCAGAGAAAGAAACCAGCTGCCATATCTTCATCTCACAGGGTCCTTGGAATTGATTCATTACAGTCATTTTATTGTTAGGTTCAATTACATACAAACAGCCTATCTAGCCCTGTAGTTATATGACCACATGGTAATAGATACATGGGTTAATATATCAAAGCACATCTGAACAACATGGAAAACTGACTAAAAGGTATTTATTGGAGCAAAATAAACTTGAAATGAAAATTTTCAAAAAGATTAATTTTCACAAGTCAGAAGTTGTGCTCTTACACTGTCTTGCTGTCTAACTTCTGACAAGTGTGAAGATCAGATCCAGTAGGGAATACAATTGAGATACATACTGAAACATGTTGGCTTAAGGTGAAGCACTATGAAGATTTTGGAGGGGGAATTTTCAGGAGATTTGTAAATTTTCAGAAGATATGGAGGTTTTAGTTCTCATTATTTTTTAATGTGCATACATTTGCCTACATGTATATAAGTGTATCCATGTATGCAGAGCACGTGGAGGCCAGAACAGGGTATCGAATCCCCTGGAAATGGAGTTATAGACAGTTATTAACCACTATGTGGGTGCTGGGAACTGAACTTGGGTCCTCTGCAAGAGCAGCCAGTACTCTTAACCACTGAACCATCTCTCCAGCTCCAAGAAGATAGGGTTTTAAAAATCAATTTTCCTGTGATGTTTGACTTCTCAAAACACTTAGTGTAGATGGAGATTCTTGGTCTAGACTCCCTTTATCTTCAAAACTGAAAGATGAGTAATGAGAACAGGTCCTCTGCTTAGAAAGGTTACTAGCCAGAGTGTAGGTAAACTAAAATGAGCTCTGAGCAAAGACAGGCTCATGTACGGAAAAGGTTCCATCAGTTGGTTGGTCTTTGAGTTATCCTTGTACGGTTTTCTAGAGGAGTTGAAAGAAACCCATCTGAGGTGCTGTCCCTGACCTTTGTGGAGGGAACGATCCATCCTCCTTCTATTGCTAAACCTTTGCTGTCTTATTTCAATTTTCTTCTAAAGGTAGAAACTTGGCTTCTGCAACTCGAGCAGACCATGCAAGAAACAGTACGCCAGGCTATCACAGAAGCCATCGCGGCCTACGAGGAGAAGCCCAGAGAGCTATGGATTTTTGATTTCCCTGCTCAGGTGGCTCTAACCAGCTCACAAATCTGGTGGACCACAGATGTAGGAATTGCCTTCAGTCGACTGGAGGAAGGCTATGAAACGGCCCTGAAGGATTTCCATAAGAAGGAGGTACTTTGATAGATGGGAGATTTTTGACAATTGAAGGGACTTGTAGAGTAAGCTTCATTTACCATTAACTTTTGGAGAAAACTGTATTCTAAATTTCCATCCTTAGGAAGATGAGATATAGGTTCTCTTTAATAGAGTTAAAGTTACAAGATTCAGTTTAAAGAAGTGGGTGGTTTCTTCCCAGGATGCTGTCCCTGCAGTTCAAGTGGTTACCATTTGTTTGACTGATGAGGTTACATAGTCGTGTGTGTGTGTGTGTGTGTGTGTGTGTGTGTGTGTGTGTGTTTAACCTGAGATAATTAAATTGCAACCATGCAATGCTTTAAAAATATTTTTAAGTAAAAATAACCCAGTTAGTTACTTTGCTGATATTTATGCTTTTATTATAACTATTAAGTGAGGACATTTTAAAAACATTAAAATAATCTCTCTTCTAGTTAACATCAATCATTACGTGAACACAAATTTCTCTTTGCACATGTTTCTTCTTAGTTTGCTCTAAGATTTTTCTCTTAATTTTCCTATCCTCCAACTTGCTATTTCTTGATTATTTGAATATTTATAGCTTAAAATGGTATTTTGTGGATATATCTTATTTATATCAATATTATTATTATTTTTAATTCCATGACTTCTTTATTATTTGTTCATTGTTGAAAATGACTTGTGGGGACTGAGTCCTCATGGTGGCGCAGGTGCCCATGGGCCCTGGGGACAATGCCTATGCCTCGGCCGTCCTGGACGAGCTGATTCAGAACTTCACCTACTGGGCACCAGCACGGGCAATGTCTCGCTGTCGGGCGCATGGTACCTCAGGAACCAGATTCACCTTTTTGGAGTTTTGCTGGCCATTTTAGGACACCTGGTTATCAGCATTTCCCTAAATATCCAGAAATAGTCTCATCTTCTGTTGGCCCAGCAAGAGAACCCAAAGCTATACTTTAAGAGCACATGGAGTCCTGCTGATCACGCTCGTTGCACCATTGGGCTGTATGTCTGTTACAGGTAGTGCCATTATTTCTGTTATGTTTCTAAAAGGGAATTTGAGAGACTCAGATTTACTAGATATGACACTGGCATTTGCAAGAACGTATTTTATTGGTGAACTTTGCTCCAAATATAACCCAGGCTATCTCAGGAAGAACAGTATAGTATTACTTTGTTGGCTGGCACTCCTAACCTCTTTGTTATTTCAATAAAAGCCATCTCAGGCATGATCACTTTTTCTATGACGGATAAAATGCAACTAACTTACCCCATCTTCTATATCATGTTTATCATCATGATTGCATCTTGTGTTTTCCAAGTTCCTGAATCAAGCTAGACGCTCTATACTACAACGATGGCGGTGCCAGTTAACCACGTTTTCTTTACAACCAGTGCCATTGTTTCAGGAATTGTATTTTACCAGGAATCCTTGGTGCTGCTTTTCTTGATGTATTTATATATCTTTTGGGTGCTTTCTGTCATTCCTTGGAGTGTTTTTGGTGATAAGAAAGAGAAAAGCAACAGTCACATCAGTCCTTTATCAATTTTGGAAATATTCCTGGAAAACAAACATTGGACAAAATACAACCAGATTCAAATGGCTTATCCTATGGAACCTTGCCGGATGGAGTCAAAGTGGAGAGAAGAAAGGGGTCTAAAATGCTGAGAGGGATGACTGTTGGCCCGTTATTCGATACTACCTCTTTAAAAAAATTGCACGTTCAAATTTGTGTTGGCAGCTATTTCATGCTGACATGTGCGAGCATTCCCTTCAGTCCTTCCCCCACTGGGGACCATCAGGGCCTCCCTAAGCTCCTATAGTCCAATGCTTTCATGGACTGTAACTCCAGTGTTCCCCACACCCTGGCCCTCTCCCTAGTGATCATCTAACTGGCTACATCTTAATGAGAGCCTGGCTGCTCAAGCAGGAATGTCACATAAAATGCACACTGGCGATTTGTCCATGGAAGACATAGGTTGCTTCTCCATGTGACTTGCACAGTCAGTTCCTTGGCTTTAAAGACATCCTCGAGTGCCATGACCTCACTCTTCAAAGAAAGGTTTGACATTTTTTCTAGGACACCTTCTGTGAGCCTCCCATAAAGAGCTCACCTCTTTCCCCTAAATTAATAGTGGGTCATCTTTTCTGAAAGCTAATGCTATGAAAATCATCCTTTGAAAATAAAAAAAGGGGCCTCAGCCGGGTGCGGTGGTACATGCCTTTAATCCCAGCACTTGGATGGAAGAGGCAGGTGGATCTCTGTGAGTTCAAGGCCAGCCTGGTCTACATAGTGATTTCCAGACCATCTGGGGCTACAGGGAGACCCTGTTTCAAAAGGACCAAAAAAAAAAAAAAAAAGAGAGAGAGAGAGAGAGAGAAAGAAAAGAAAGGGCCTTATTTAAAATGGAATTTACAAGTGGCATTCTGTGAAGGCATATACCAAAATCAGAGACCTGGCTGGTGGACTTTTTAAGCCTAAAAAAGGAACATTGAAGTTAGAGAACTAGCTCATTCTTATGGCATATGTCCTAAAATTCAGACAATACAGATGTTAGTATGGCCTCTTTGTAAGGTAACATATAAATTGGTAAAGCATTAACAATTTTTGCACCTATGTTCATTGTTTTAATAAAACTATAGAATGCCAGGGAAAAATTGAAGAAAAAACATATTATATTATATATAATATGTTATTTCCCTTCTTGTATTTTAAACTATATATATATAATTTTAAATATTTTATTCATTATTTTATGTGTATGAATGCATTACCTGTATCTACATAAGTGTGCCCATGTCGTGCAATGCCTATAAAGGTCAGAAGAGGGCATCAGATCCCCTGGAACTGTAGTTATGGACGGTTGTTAGGTGCTATGTGGGTGCTGGGAACCAAACCCATGTTCTCCACAAGAGCAGTCAGTGCTGTTAACCTCCGAGTCATCTCTCCAGCCCCACAAATACACTTTTAAAATACTCATAGATCCGCTTACTCATCAAGAACTATTTTTTCCTAGTCTCTGCTCCCCATGCCATCTGACCTTATTTTTTCTAAGCCCCTCACCATTTGTGATGGTAGTGATTACTTAAAGGAAAAAGCCTGAATTGCGTGGAGCACAAAATGGCACAAAGTTGGAAAATAGAATTTAAAAGTTGAAGAGGGAGAATGAGAAGTTTCAGCTGTACACAGCTAGTAAAACTAGACAAAGAAACCAGCACAAATGGATTATTATTTTTTATTATTGTTAATTACTTTAAAATCCTATTTAAATTACCAATGTATCTAGCAATAGCTTTATTATTTATTTTTCATCTTATTACTATTTTTGAACTTAGTTTTTAGTTTTCTATGGTGGATCTTTTAGTGGTTTCTTCAGCAATAAATTATATTAAGATACTTTCTTCTGCATTAACACTTTACCAATTTATATGTTACCTTACAAAGAGGCCATACTAACGTCTGTGTTGTCTGAATTTTAGGATATATGCCATAAGAATGAGCTCAGTCCTCTACCTTCAGCAATGTGAGAGATGGGTGGATGAGTGAGGGTCCTCATAAACAACAGATACATGATAAATAAAGCAGTGATTGCCAGGCATGGTGGCGCACGCCTTTAATCCCAGCATTCAGGAGGCAGAGGCAGGTGGATCTCTGTGAGTTCAAGGCCAGCCTAGTCTACATAGTGAGTTCCAGGACAGCTGGGGCTACAGGGAGACCCTGTCTCAAAACAACAACAAAAATCCAGTGATTGTAGAAGCAGGCAGTAGGCATACATATCAATATACAATTCAGTTTCCTGTTTGGAAAACTTCATGATAAACTACTAGGGGCATCTACTGAGTAGTGTGTAACATTAGATGTCCTGTTATTGTTGCTGTCAGCATTGAAGGAGAGGAAAGGCAACATTTAACTCTTCCATCATGCTTAAATTACAACAAACACTGTACAGTACTATTTTGCATATATGAACTAAGCTAATCCTTAACCATATTGCAATGTAGGTTCTGTTATCGACCCTGCCTGATAAATGCTGAAATAAAGACACAAAGCAAAGGAATAGCTCGTCCATGGCCATATAGCTGATGAGCAAGTGGGAGAATCGGGAACAGAGTCTAGACAACCTAGTGCTAGGTGCCTTTTCTTTAATCAGTCACTGCAAGGAAAAAGCCGGTAAGCTCAAACAGAGATTTAAGGAGTTACCTGAATTGTATGGAGCACAAAATGGTAGAAAGTTGGAAATTATGAATTAGAATTTAAAAGTTGAAGAGGGAGAAAGAGAAGTTTCAGCTGTGAATTCTTTAATCAGTCAAGAAAAATTCTTTAATCAATCAGAAAAATCGTTTTTTCTTTTATAAGCAGTCAGTTCAGTATTATTTTTGGCTGCTTTTAGGATTTCTGGTATTTTATTACAGTACACTAGTTATAAGGTTTCTTTTTCCTACTGCTTTTCAAACTTAGTCTGCTAAGGGGTCAGTGAACTTCTTGGATCTTCATTTCTACATCTTTCTGTAGTTTTGAGGTTCTCTTACTAGCTCAGCAGGCACTTTACCCAGTGGGCCATCACCTCAGTCCCACAATTCCTTTTAGTTCTTTAAAATCAGTCTTGTGCAGCCCAGCCTTTTCATTGTGACTTCCAGCCTTTCTGACACCTTTTTTTTTGGCGGGGGGAGCTCTTTTTGAGACAGGGTCTCCCTGTAGCCCCAGCTGTCCTGGAACTCATTTGAGGGATAGTTCATAGTTTTTCAGAGTATTACCAGCTGGCGCTCTTGAGGCTGACTCTCCTGCTAGCTGTTTTAACATTTGTTTTGTTAAGGCTGCTGTCTGGACTTGTGTTGTCTGCTGGGCAAATATCCCCAGTTGTATTTCCCCGTTGTTTATTCAAGAGCCTTCGAATTCTGGATTGGTTCTGCGGCTAATTACTTTGTGTGGAGTTTCGGGTCACCTTGGCAGGACTGATTTGGAGAGCACAGTCTCCCATGACAAGGACTTGAAATGCCGATTTGAGGATTTTCT